GGGCAGGACTGAAAGGACCCACCACCCTAAGCTGAAATTGCATGTTTCCCCCATTTCCTCCGGATATATGGACACCCCCTTCTTCCTTGAGCACGGAAACCTCTGCTGAGACCCCGATAAGCAAGTTGAGTCATGCCAACCCTCACTCCCAGGCTGATCCTGAGTAGACATTCCCATAGCTACAAGAGGGTGAGGGGTGAACTGTGGGTGGTGAGATACAAGGCCCCTGAAAGTAAGGGCAAAAGCTGTCCAGTTCCTGCTCCCCTTTCCATCATGTTTTATGGAGCGGCAACAATGCACCCCCCCTCCACGTCCCCCACCCAGGGAACTCTTCCTCCCTCAAGACATTCCTGAGATGCATTCCAGAGGAGTTGGGCAATGGAGGGGGGGGGAATGGAGGACAGGAGGTCAAATCCCAGCAAGGAATGGAATGTCCTGGGGGTAAGGAATTTGGGGTACATGGAGAATATAGTCAGAATAGATACCTACAACAGAGCTGCAGGAAGGCAGGGAGTTAGAGAGGAACAGAGGGAGAGAGAAAGTTGAACACAGAGTCAGAATGTAAGGTGGGGGGGAGTAACATTCAGTCTGTTACCAAATTTGGCCTCTGAGTCCGCAACTGCGGGGTGGGGGAAGGGCTGTGGGTGAGACTGACATATCCGGCCTCAGGCTGCTAGAGGCTCATTTAGGGCTGGACTGGGCAGTGAAGGGCTGGACCTGGCTTCCCCTGACACAGCCTCTCCCCATCTACACCTCTATCCGTGCATATTCGTTCTCTCCAAATGCACCCAGGCCTAGTCACAGAGCTACTTACGCTGTGTCTACACAGTTATCTCAAACACACAGACCCCAGCACAACCACACTATCTTCCTGTAAAGACCCATCCCACGCATATAGCTTCCCCACAAATACACCTCTATCGGCCAGCACATGGGCTCAGCCCCAATGTCTCTGCTCCACAACGTAGACATTCTCCCTCCATTCACCCAGGAAGCATTTCTCATGGGGAAGGCCCAAACTCAGTGGCTGGGAACCAAGAAGAGTTAAGCCTTAGCCTTTGCAATCAAGGGGTTCCAGTCAGCTAAGTGGATAAACTCAATACAGAATTAATACCAGAACGGGATGTGGTTAAGCGCCAAGACGTGTGTGCTCAAGGGAGAGACCCCTTTTGGTTAAGGAAGGGGGACCAAAAATTCTCCATGAAAGTGTCATTTGAGGTTAGGGTTTTAAAAAATGAAGATGATAAGAAATAAGAATGATCTATTTTTTATTGACTATAAATTGCCTTATATTTTGATTAATTACTTTGTATATACATAATTTCATTTAATCCTTACAACAACCCTGCAAGGTAGGTGTGGTTATTTCCATGCTTACAGATTAGGAAACTGAGGCTCAAAGATGTTAAACACTTGTTTAGGTACTTGTCCAAAGTCATTCAGCTAAAATGCTGTGAAGCCAGGATCCGAACCCAGGTTTCGCTATTCCAAAGCCTAAGCTCTCTCCACTACGCCAGCCGGAGATGGTCCGGGTAGCAGTCCAGGCAGAGACAATAGCACAAGCAAAGGTGGAGAAGCAGAAATCGTGGAGAAGCATTCAGGGAAGTGAGTAGGCAGGCTGGCTGAAGCACAGGGTACCTGCAAGGGAGCAGTGATGGGGAAGTTAGGGTTAGGATGGACAAGCAGGGGACGACTAAAGGAGAATGAGGAATTAGATCTACTGGAGGGCAGGAGGCAAAGGGAGGCTTTGACCAGAAAAGGGGCATTTTAGGAAAGGGGAATTTGTTTTTTAAAGGTTTATTTATTTATGCATACAAGAACTGGGGTATAGGCCAGAGGTACAGGGGTGGGGGGGTGAGAGGATTCACCAGAGACACAGCAGGGAACAGAACAGGCAGACTGACTGAAATACACTGCTGAGGGGTGCAGCGGGGGAGTCAGGAACGGTCTGCTGCGCCATGTGGGTAGCTCCTTGGCCAGCCAGGGATCGAACTCATGCTGCAGTGGTTGCCACGATAGCTTCATAGTGCTGAGACCTAACCCTTTGTGCCACCAGGGAGGCCCTGAAAGGGGGCCCTGAAAGGGGGATTGAAAACAACTCTGGCAGTTACCTTGGAGAGTGGTTAGACCACTGCACCAGCACAAACGAGATGTAATGAAGTATCAGGATGGTGGGAAGAGGATGTCACTCAGAAATTTTAAGCAGCAGAAGTGACAGGGCTTGATGACAGTCTCTCCTGTCAATCCTAAAGTCCAGAGCCCAAACTCAGGCTAGTATCCCCTAGCTTCCTGTCATCGGTAGCTACTCAGTGGCTGGGGCAGCTTGAGTTTAGGTGAGGCAGTGGGAAGGGGGAAAGAAAGGATCAGAGTGAGCTGGGAATATGATGATGAGGCAGTAGTTACACTGTAGGAAAATGGGAATGGAGATGTGGTTAGCACACAGGTAGACACAGAAGAGATGATTTAGTGAATGAATCTGGCTGAAAATGGGGAAGACAATGTGTAGAGAAGAGGCTGGGGAAGATGGTAGTACGAAAAATACACATGTGATCAGTCACTCACTGATCAGGCTGGGGGTAAGGGGTAACATAATTCTGTGGATGGTGGCTAAATCAGGGAATGATGGTGTGAGGTCAGAGACCAGGTCAGGCTAGAAGAGGCTGAGAAGAGTTGGGGCTGTGATCAGTGGCTAAATTAGGCCAGGAGAGGGCAAGAATGACGTGTCTAAGTAAAGCTGGAGCTGGGAGTGGGGGTGATGGGATGCAGCCAGTGGCTGAGTCAGGCTGGGTAGGGGATACTGCTGTGGTCAGTGGCAGGGTCAGCTGGGAGTGAAATGGGGGTGTGGTTGGTGGCTTGGCTGGGCGTGGGATCAGCAAGACCCAATTTCCTCTTTGGGTCTCATTTCCTCTTTTCTGTTTTGGGAGTGGGGGAAGGGGACCTACAAATGGACCAAGAAACTAAAGAAGCTTAGAATTGGGGTAACACATAGTAGGCACTGGGGGTACCAAGCAGTTGTTTTGAGTTGTGGTAGGGTATTCAACAGATGACCAGGAGGTAGACAAATAGATGAGTCTATGATGGAAGAGTGTTTTAAAATGATAGGAACAATCAGTGGGTAGGAGGGTAAATTAAGGTAGGCTATATGGATTAGGGCAGTGGGAAAGGAGGCAGAACTGACACTGGGAAACGATGGTAACATGAACACGGGAGAGTTAAGGACAAGGGAGTACCCTGTAAGGGGCATGCAGGAAGGGTGTGAAACGCTGGGCCAAGGAGGAGAATTGGACAGACCTTAATATCTAGGGAAGGAGAGGAATGGGAGGCAATGAGGTTGACCTTTCAGAGGATTCAGTCACTCCCTTCACCCACAGCAGCAATGTTTCCTTGGTCTGCTTCCCCTTTGTCACTGATTCCCATACCCCAAGGCAGTCCCCCACTTATGACTAGGCCTGATACACCAGGCGTGGGTCCTGTCCCTTTCCTACCAGAAACCTCTGGCCCTGTGGTGGTCACAGCAAGTTACTTGGGTTTGGAAAGTAAAATAAAAAAGTTGGAGTCCCAGATATCTTCAATTCTAGTTGAAGCCCAGAACCCTGACCTAGAATCTATTTGTCATTTCTCAGGGCTAAAGAAGCCCCTATGACTACGCGGGTATAAGTTCTGCCCAGGAAATAAGGGAATCTATCTACTGCTAATCTCCTCATTTTTAGCTGTCCAAGTTCCACTCCCCTGACCTCAACCACAATCCTGAAAACTGCCCCTAATTCCTAACATCAGCTCGACCCTAATTTGTTTCCTGATTCCCAATACCGGCCTTGACATTTATCCATTTCCTAGACACCTGTACCTAACCACTGATTGCTAACGCTGATCCAATTTTTACCTTTAGTACCAAATCCCCTAACCTTAAACTCTAAATATTGACCCCTAAGTCTAATGCTCCTTTGCCACTGAATTCCTGACCCATCCCTTCACCGTTTACCTCTACTACCGACTATGCTTATGTTCTCTAATCCTTAGAACTGGGTTTCGAACCTAATTTCTGCTGTCGACCCTTAACCCGACGCTATACTAGAGCTTTGATTTATGCTGGCCATCCTAGGAAACAAAAACCTTTAATCCCAACTTTACCCACAAAAACGGAGCTGATTCACCGGTAACTGTTTGCATCCGGCTTTGGAACACCTAAGGCTCATCCTGATGCCTAAATACAAGCCCACCTGATCGCGAAGTCACCCCAAACGTTCCGACCCACAAAACATAACCGCTATCGGCTAACCGCGAAGCCCGTCCCCGCCCCGCGCCTCACCGCCGCTCCAGCCCCCGCCCCCGCCCCGGCCCAGCCCTGAGCGCGGACTGCGCGGGGCCGCGACCCGGCCACCCAGACGGCCGCCTCCACGGCGAGGCCAGCGGCGATGCCCTGGGCCCTGACCTCGGCCGCAGGACCCGAAACCGGAGGCGCAGGGAGCGGGGGCCCCGCCCGCCGCCGCCCGCCTCCCGGACGGCTCGCGGCCCCACCCCGGGGCTCCGGCGCGGCGCGGCCCGGCCTACCTGCGCTGCCCGGCTCTGCGCCCCGCCCGCCGGCCCGCTAGCCCGCGCGTCTCCCGGTGGCTCTCGGGTCCGGCCTCGCCCTCCCTTCGACACTCGCGCGTCCACTTCCGTCCCGGGGACGGCCCCCCCGCGGGCGGCGCCCTGGGCGCGCGCTCTATGGTGGCGGGGCCGCAGGAAGCTGCTCTGGCCGCCGCTCTCGATGCTCGCGCGCCTTCCCCGGCAGGAAGCGGGCGGTGGAGGGTGCGGCGCGCTCGGAGCGGACGCCCGAGCTGCGGCGCGGCGCCTTGGGCTGGTAACCCTTCCTTTTCGGGTTCAGGCGAAGGCGGAGCAGCGGCGCAGAGCCCCGCCCCCGGGCGCTGCATCTCGGGACGTGGCGCGGCTTCCGGGCAACTCCCGCGGGGACGCCAGGCCCCGAGCGCCGCCGCCCGGACGCGTCACTTCTGCTGTGTTGGAAGCCGGGGCCAGCGGACCCGGGGGGAGGGCTGGGCCGGGGGCGTCGGCCGCCGCCACGCCAAGCCCGGCTGGAGAGGCTCTAGCGGAGAGGTGGACGGACAGCCGGTGGGTGCAGGGCTCCGGGCGGGGGGTTGGCACCGGCGGCGGGGGGAACACCTGTGTTTCTGCCCCTCCTTCCGTAGATGCCCCCGATGGAGCTGGCGTTGGACCGAGATCGCCCGGACCTGCTGGACTTCCTGCTACAGGAAAGCGGAGACTTGGGGGCGGTGCCCGGCGAGTCCCCGGAGGCTCCAGAGCACTGGGAGCTGCCGCTTTCCGATGTGGGTGGGGGCGCCAAGTCCGGGAGGCGCGGGACCCGGGCGTCCTTGAGGCCAGGAGAGGTGATAGATCAAGGTCTGTTAATTTAAACCCGTGCAGGTAGACAACGATTGGGATGTAGAGGATTTCCTAAGCTCCCTGCTGAATCCGCAAGCATCCCTCTCCGACCCCTGTTTGGTCGGCCATGATCACACCTACTCCCTCCCGCAGGACCATATATCCATAGATCTAGGTGAGTCTGGAATAAATGTAGCTTGGGGAGACGACTCATGGACTTTGTTAACTCATGCTTCCCCTTTTGCAGATTGCAGAAGCTATAGAAAAGAGGGGGTCCAAATGAATCCACTGCAGATGGAGGAATCGGCAGAACAGGTATTCGACTTACGGGAGGATTATTGCTGCATTGCTTGGATGGAAGCAGGATTTATTATTTATTTATTTATTTTTAACTGAGGTGACATTGGTGTATGCTTAATCAGGTATCATCACCATAGCGCATCCACCACCGTTATTCCTGTTACAGCCGCTCACCCATACCCCACCGCCCATACTCCACCATCGCGGACCTTTAAGCCTTCCTCCCTTCCCTCCTGTTCTTTCCCTTCCCCCACCCCCTCCACCCTTGGTGTCTCAGTTCTGTAGCCAGCTCTCCAAGGGTTAGTTTTTCAGCTTGTCTTTGACAATTAATTTAGTTACTTTATATTCCACATATTAGTGACACCATCTGGTATTTCTCCTTCTGACTTATTTCACTTAGCGTTTGCATGTTGCTGCAAATGACATGAGTTTATCTTTTTTGATCACTGAGTGATCAGGCTCATCTGTTAATCCACTCATCCGTCCTGGAGCACTTAGGTTGTTGTTTCCATAGTTTAGTTACAGTAAATAGTGGAGCAATAAACTTGGGGGGACAAGTTTCCTTTTGAATTAGTGTTTTTGAATTTTTTTGATAGATGGAGCAGGATTCATCATTCCTGTCTGACATCCCCTCCCAACTCAGCTGCCCTTATCCCACTTTCCCGGAACCCCCGATTGCTAGGCTGATGCTGACAGATGAGGAGAAGAGGCTCTTGGAGAAGGAGGGGCTTACCCTGCCTGGGATACTTCCTCTCACTAAAGTAAGATTCCCATTGGTGGAGCAAGGGACGGTGTTAAATCCTAAGTATGCTAATTATGTTACATTTATATCACTAACTTGAAATCAAGTATCCAGGTGAGAAAATTTAGCAGATTTTTTGCTAACAGGAAATTAGTGCGTGTAATGTGCTAGATGCATGGGTGGATTCTGGTTTTGTGGGACTTATACAAATTTTGGTGTTCTCTTTAAGAAAAAAGAATTCTTAATTATCAGTGCTACATTAGTATTGACTGTGCAAGTGAGGGGCCCTGATTCTTATATTTCATTGGCATCATGTGTACTCCACCTTGTGCTGCATGGCAGAATTTTTAGAGTCCATGCAGCCTGAACCAATGTAATAATGTAAAATTGTGAACTTTAAGTTTCAAGCCAGGAGTAGTAGCTTCATGAGCTCAGTATTTTGATATTGTGATGAAGTCAATGTCCAATGGTAGAAAGGTTAAGAGCATTTTAATTGCTTAAAGTATGAGATGAGTCAGCAGTGTGCTATGGCTACCAAGAAAGTGAATGGGGTTTGGAGGCTGTAGCAGGGTTGCCTCTAGCAACCTTGCTCTCCTTTCTGTTGGCCAGATTGTATCTTAGTCTCCCGCTCTGACCATGGATCTTTGACAATAAGAGGATGCAGTTCGTTTTGAAGAGATAAGATCATGAGTTAAAATTTTTGCCCAGTTTTTTTTAAGTCTGAAGAAATGTCAAGTGCCTTAAAATAACTCAAGACCATTTGTTATCGATGGCCCCAGAGAGTAAATTAGGTACTAAGTCCAAAGGAAAGAAATTACAGAGGCAGATGTTGGCTCAGGATAAGGAAGATGAAAAAAAAGTTGACTGACTTGTGAGGACATTAACACCTGGTGCTTGGCCGCATTCAGACAGAAGCCAAGTGCCTATTGGATGTAGAAGTGATTCCTGCATTGGGAAGAAGATTGAATTCAGTTGCTTTCCCTCTCCGGTTCATTGTTCCTCTGTGTTTTCCTGTCTTCTCTCAGATGGAAGAACAAATTCTAAAACGTGTGCGGAGGAAGATTCGAAACAAAAAATCTGCTCAAGAGAGCCGAAGGAAGAAGAAGGTGTATGTGGGGGGTTTAGAGAGCAGGTATTAAAGAGGAAGGGACTTGGGGGTGAGGGAAACCCAGAAGTTATGGGAAGTGTTTTTCAAGGATGAATAGGATGAATACAATCTGTGCCCCCATATCCCCATTATTTCCCTAGGGTCTTGAAATACACAGCCCAGAATCTGGAGCTACAGAACAAAGTACATCTTCTGGAGGAACAGAATTTGTAAGCAACTCCCCAACATGAGTCCCTTCTAATCCCTTCTATTTAATGTGGTCTCAAATGATTCATCTGCTGCACACTTGATTTCTACCTTGGCAGTTTCCACATGCAGTATCTGGTGCTTGGCTTTTTCTGGGCTTCTAATTTCAAGAAGCTCACAGTAATGAGGAATAAATTCACAAGTAACTAAGGATAAGTTAAATACCAAGAGAGAGAAAGAAGACAGACTTCATGGGCAGATAGCATTTGATATAAGATAGAATTCCTGGGGTAGAATGGGGAGGAACATTCTAGGTAGAGAGAACACAGCAGGGTCCAGCCTGACTGGAGCCCTAACATGGGGAGCTGAGCCAGAGAGGACTGGCTCTGAACACTGAACATCTGGTGAGGATTTTGTGCATAGATGCTCAGTGTAGAATTATTGAAGGTATTTAGAAAGAAGTTTAAGTCTAGCCAGGGAGAGAGGTGTGTGTCTGTTTTAATGAGAAACTTCAGGCATTTTGTCCACAGAGAAGTCTTTTGCAAAAATATGACAAAAAGAGAATCCAGTGCACAGATGGGGGAGGGTTTCATTGTATCTCAGGGTGCCAGGCCAGGGGCTGCTCACTGTTTCCTCTCTTCCTCTAGGTCCCTTTTGGATCAGCTGAGGAGACTCCAGGCCATGGTGATTCAGGTATCAAACAAAACCACCAGCAGCAGCACCTGTGTTCTGGTGAGGATGGTGATGGAAGAATAGGTTTTCTCAGGTGGCAGGGGCAGGGGTGTAATCCAGAGCTCTTCTTCATCTCCTTTTTCCTGTGTTTCAGGTCCTACTGTTCTCCTTCTGTCTCCTTTTTGTGCCTGCTATGTACTCCTCTGACACAAGGGGGAGCCTGCCAGCTGAACATAGAGGTGAGAGGCCTGAGGATACCACCAAGGTTGGTTGAGGGCAGAAGCCTGGCCTGCCCCTGAAGTCTTTGTCTCCACAGTGTTGTCCCGCAGGCTTCATGCCCTCCCCAGTGAGGACCCTCACCAACTGGAGCTGCCTGCCCTGCAGTCAAAGACACCAAAAGATAGCCCAGACCATGTGCTCCCAGCTCCTGGCAACTCTTGCTGCCTGCTCTACAACATGTCTCAGGCTTGTGATGCAGAGCTTTCCCTGAAGTTGCCTTCCCCTGATCCCTTCTCAAAGTCCCTCTACCCAGGCCCCATCCTGCTCCTGCATGCAAATCTCACAAGAGGAGAGCCCCATACCTGCCATCTTGCAGGGCAAATACTCATGCTCAACATCAGTATATGGGGGACCTTAGCAAATGCTTGGAGCTCTCAATCTGCATCCATCTAAAAAGGAGTGGGAGACGGCTAGCCTCAGCTCCTGTGCCCTGTCATGAAGCCTAAGGGCTCACATACACTATGCTTACTGGCTTTCTGGCTCTTTCATTTGTACCCATCTATCACCCCATGAATGGGCCTGGAGGAATCAACTGAGCTTGAACATTGCATGCAGTGAGGGGAAGGGAGGAGGAAATAAATAAGTGATTCTGAAGCCTTGGTCACCCTCATCCCCTCTTTACTGGGGTGATTGTGGGGAGAAAGGGGAGAAGGGAAGGTGTGTGATTGTCTTGGTGGCTCAGGGTTGCAGGAGACTGGCAGGGGTGGGTGGTGGGGTGAGTAAGGAGGGACATCCAGGTGGGAGGCTGGGCTGCTGGCACCTCCTTCCCACAGTTCAGAGGGCTCACTTTGGGCTCAGGTTTGCTATAGCTTCCTTTGGTCCAAATTTAAGCTCAGTGCTTAGTCCTGTGCCCTGCTTGGCTATTGGCCTGGAGGCTTTTTTCTGCTGCTGCTGCTGCAGGGCCAGCTGCATGGCCCAGATGCTCAGTGGTCGCATGTAGGCCAGTGAGCGGAACACCTGCTTCTGGCAATATGCCTCAGGAGTCTGGAAGGCCAGGCCCAGGCGCTCCCACACGGTACGGTAGCAGCCTTCGGCTGTCTGGAAACCCTCCCAAGTCAGGCCCTATAAGAAGAGATGACAGTCAGATTACTTGGCAGCCCCTGAATAGCCACTTTAGTTGGACAGATGGAGACAATTAGGGTCTCTGACCACAGGGAACTCCCAGCTGGTGGGGAAGATAAACTTGACCCCACAGGCAGAAGCCTGAAGGCAGAAGATGGAATGCATGCCAAGGGAAGTGGGGAGGATTTCTGGGTGGATTACATGACATGGGGTAGGGCTGTACAAAGTGGCTGAGGAAGTCTGTTGGGCTAAGGTACAGTGGAGAAATGGGGAAAGGAGCATTACCTCCTGGATCATGGTGGCAGCCAGACCGTAGACCACGCCCACCCAGACTTCATCAGACTGGATACTGGATCTATCTGGGACGCCATGGGGCTGCATCCCATTCACAGCCCCCATGGTCCCTCCTGCAAAGGCCTGAACATTGAGCTCAAAGATAGTTTGGAGAGCACGGACCACATGTGGAGTAGGAAATACCTAAAGTGGCAAAAGGCAGAAACATGGTCTCTCTCACTTGCTTCCCACCTCCAGTGGAAAAACCTACCCTCTGGCTTCTAGTCTCTCTCACCTCAGTGTCTCCTTCTCCTAGGCCACAGGCCCTCAGGAACCATTGGCCAGCACACTGGTCAGACATGATGCTACAGGACTGAGGCTGAGAGCTGCAATCATAGTTGTAATAGCGACCTGGAGTGGAGAAAGGGCAAAGTGAGACTCCTTGCATCCCCGCTGCCTTAGGACTTCTTAGGATCCCCAACTCACCATTCCACAGCAGTCTCTCATAGGCTTCTTGGCCCCGGCTGAGGATGGAAGAAAACTTATCGTGGATGTCTTGTGCCTCACACAGAGCAGCCATCTGGACCATCACAGCCACAGCTGCCAGCCATAATCCTCCACAGTAAGCACTAATCAGGGATATGGGTTTGGGGGTCAGATTGGCAGCTACTCCCGGGGAACATGATAGGCAGTGAATCACGAGCCCACAGTCCCTTGGTGCCCAGCTCCCCACCTCAGGCCCCCTGAAAGTCCCTACCCCCCAACCTGGGGCCTGTGGTGACCCATCCATCATAGGTCTGATCTGCATAGCCTCCATTCTCAATGAGTCCATCTTGGTCCTTGTCAAACTTCATTTCAGACTCCATCACGGCCTAGAGAGGGACCAAGACACTGAAGACCTAGATACTAAGGAGAGAACAATAGCCAGCCGGGCTCTCCCCAAACACCAGTCCTGCCCCTGGTGCACAGGCCACTGCACATATATTCCTTACCAGACAAACAGGCCACATGTCCCTCAGGAAGCCCCGGTCACCAGTCAGATAGTAGTCCCTATAAACCTGTAGCACAAACTTCAGGTTCAGGTCCTTCCAGTCAGCAGTATCATGAATTAGATATGCATTGACGCGGAGCCATGGCTCGTCATCTGTGGGAGGGGAGGAAACCTGGTTCATTTGCATCAGTGGGTGGAGATGAGGGTGCACAAGTTAAGGGAGGGTGACTGACCTTGTGGTGGAGGAAATTTTTACCTGGGTCCCCAATATCGTGGGGGATGACATTCCTCCTTTTTACAGGTGCTGTTACCCCACTCATCAGGTACCGTCGCTGTGTCAGGTCCTCCCCGAGAGTTGCCAGAGCTGGGGAAACAGGCATACAAATGGGAGGGGAGCATAGAGGGTTGTGAGGCCCCACAAAGGTTCAGGAGTATGGAGAGCTAAGAGGGCAGAAGGGGTACAAAAAGGACTCTCACCCATGTCATACTGCAGGCTGAGCTCGAGTTTGGGCCAGAGCATGATGAGGGCGAAGGAAGCATAAAAGTGGACATCGTATGTGTTGTACATGCGGTATTCCTGACCTGGAGGAATAAGAGACATGCTGTTGCCAGAATTCCTGCTTCTCCTTCACCATCCCCCGCCCCTAGCTTGTCCTCAGCCATTGGCGGTGGGGCACTGTCACCCCTCCACACACACCACTTATCACCTCTTCACAACCAGTACCCTGAGGCAGGCAGAACCCATCGGCCTGCCTTGTGGTAGGGAACAAACCCTGGCCCCCCAGCAGCCCCTACCTTCAAGGTAGCCAAATCGACCGTATTCCCATAGGATGGGACGGAGCTGACACATGCTGTCCCCCAACTCCTCCGGTACAGAGTCCTCAGGAACTTCCAGCCATACTGTGCCTCCATCAGCCAAAAAATATAATTCATTGAACAGTGCAGATTTGTACCAGGCGGGCAAGGACCTGGGGAGTCCAGAGGAGGGAATGCTCGAAAGAGTGCAGACCTTCCAGGAGAAGAAGGATTGTGGGGGTGGGTGGGAGGGGTGGGGTGTTAGCAGAGTGGAGGCACCAAGTGAACCCCAGCCCAACTGCTGATTGGTGGGTAGAGAGTGAATGAGGAGTCCCAACCAGAGTGTGAGTGCCTATGAGGGTGGCAAGAGATGGAACCCCTGGCACCTGTCATCCAATATTGGGCTCTGCCAAGCCGAGATCTTTTCTTCCCAGTCTGCATATCTGCACAGGGCGTAGTGGCTAAGGGCAGGTGCTGCATTACCATCTTGGCCAAAGAACCTTGTGTACCGTCTGGAGAGGAAAGAAAGGGGAGGGGTAAGTACGAGGGTTCTACTTCAGAACCCTAGCCCCTCAGACCCCCGTACTTCCCGTCCCCTCACCTGTAGTGGTCCTGGCCCTTCGCTCCGAAAGTGATCTTGGGCATGTCCCAAGCCAGTGAGAACTCCAGCCGGCACTGGCCCCGAGGCGGCAGCTTGCCTGAGACACACACAGCCCCGGCGGTGCCGATTCCCTTCTGGGAGGGGGTGCCTGGGCCTGAGAGAAGCACAAGAGCCATCAGCACAGGCTCCCCCCAGCCTCGGACCTCTAACGGGGGTGTAAGACCTGTTCGTTACCACGCCATCCACCCCTGCTCCCCAGACAGAAACCTCTCTCCCCACCACCTCCTTGCCAGAACCCCTATCACCAGCGGGGGAGTCCAGCTGTCCATCCTGAAGGAGATCTTGCCACACCTGCTGCCCAGTGCCGTCAGGGTCAAAGGCTGTAATGTGGGTTACTGTTGTTTCTGCCTGTTAAGGGGCCAAAGGCTCTGTGAGGGAAGCGCCTCAAGCACACCGGCTTCCTTGCCCACCAGCTCAGGAGGTTGAAGGGCAGTGGTGAGCATGGGGCACAGAAGCTGAACAGATGAAGAGACTATGGTGGGGAGGGGTAGGTTGCAGGGCCAGGGCAGGAGCTCGGAGGCTAAGGTACAAGGTAGGCTCCTTCATACCGTGCATCGTGCAGCTACAGCCATTGTGTAAGGGTTCGGAAGGGTTCGATGATGCAGCAGCAGCCCCTTTACTGTCTCCCCATCACGATCCAGACAGAAGGGCTCATTCCACAAGCCCCCTGGGGCATCATCTTCACCTCCTAGTCCATTCCTCATGGAAAACATGATGGACACATCCAGGGCTTCATCTCCTTCATTTTCCACATCCCACACAAAGACTCCTACCGGCAAGCTGCTGTCCTGGGAGCAAGAGATCAGACTCAGATGGCCCCACTCCCGGGGATCCGTCCTGGACATTGAGGACTTGACTCAAATATTCCCCATTATGTGTTCTTGTCTTCCACTTGTCACTCCCCACATTCCCAGGCAAGCTGTCTACCAGGAGACACAAGGCAGTCTGGGGGTGGTCCTGGAAAACCAGTATGATGTTCATGGCTCCAACCTGCTCTCTTTCACAGATCATGGAATTCCCAGAAGCAGATCCTGGGGAAGGGAGGGCAATGGAGGAAATAGGGCAATGGAGGAAATAGGACTCACCTGGTAGTCGTGGGGTAAGATGGGTGTGATCTGGCGGCAGGTAAGGGTGACATTCTGTCCAGGAAGCTGATAGACAGTCCAGGCTCGAGGATAGAGGGCATGGTAGAATGCAAAGTACCCACACAGGCCCCAGTTCCAGCTGCGCAGTACACTCGGGCGCTCCACAGACAGGACTTGCTGGTACACAGTCTGCCCTTTCCGACGCAAGCATACTGTGAACTAAACCAAGAAGGGCAGTTAGGCTGGAATGGAGTAGCCTCAAATATATCTCCCTTCAACGTAGCTCCTCCCCTTCTAGAGCCTGAAGTGGTTGCCACTGCACCAGCCTTGCTCATCCCTCAGGCTCAGTGAGTGACCCAGTCTTGCCTCCTCCATCAATCTCCTAGGCTTCCTGTCCCGTCTCTCTGCTGTGGTCCTAAGAACCCTAACCCAGACCCTCACCATCTCTGCTTTGATGCTCTGCCTTTTCTCAACTGGGGATCAGAGTGATCTGCATATTTAATCTATGTTTTTATAATGTTCTAGTGACTCCCCATGGCCCTCAGGCTAAAATCTAAACTCTTCTACTTGGCCTCTCCCTGCCCATCAGACACTGCCTATTCAAGCACCAATTTCTGGTCATATCAAATACTCATGTTCCTTCAGCACAGTACATTTCCTCCTTTACGCCTTTACTCATGCTCATTTTTTCAGGTGGTGAAACCCCTCATCCTTCAAGACCTCAGTTAAATGCCATCTCCTCACACAGCAAGTCCTCCTGGGTGTGCCCTACCCCTCTCTTCTAGCATGTTACAGTGTATTTATTTACATTCTGACTCCCTGACTGCTCTGGGTTCTTAAAGGCAGGGATCTTCTGTAGTTTACTGAGGTGCTCCTCTCCACCTACAATTCCACACCAGAATCCAGCAAAGTTGGTATGTGTATGGGGAGAATGGGCAAAGTCTGCCACTGTGTCCCTGTTCCTCAGTATACTATTCGTCCCTCTCATTTTGGCACTGCTGTGATCTCACACATCAGAGACTCCATTTTCTCAAAGTCCTATTTCCCTAATAAAAATTCAAACTTCTGGATGGCAGGGGATATGAGGGATTAATAGCTCTTGCTCTGTTTCAAACTATGTCTGATATATTTTTTTAAAGATTTATTTATTTATTCATAAAAGAACTGGGGTGTAGGCCAGAGGTGTAGGGGGTAAGAGGAGTCACCAGAGCGTGGAGCAGTCAACAGGCAGATCTATTGAAATAACACCACTGAGGGGAGGTGTGGATGAGACAGGAAAGGTCTGCTGCAGCATGTGGGTTAGCTTCTTGGCTGAGGATTGAACTCATGTTGCAGTGGCTGATGATAGCTTGATAGCGCTGAGACTTAACCCCTTGTGCCACCAGGGAGGCCCTATGCCTGATATTTTTAATGTATATATAAAATAAATTTTTCTGTTGTTGGAAGTAGATAATGGTAGGACCATGGGTTCTTAACTACAGAGAACTGGTTCTGAATCCCCAAGCTTCCATTTGTCAACCAGGTGACTTTGGGCATGTTATACTTCTCTGGATCTTAGTTACCTCACCTGTTGAATAGGCATAAATATAGGATTGTCTTAAATATTATATATTATATAAAAAGCCCAGCACATGTTAAGCATGCAATAAGTACTTTAACTGTAGAGTCACGATTCTGGAAGGCATTCCCTTCAGGATACCTGAGGGATGAGCCAGAGAGGAAGCGTGGAACATTGGGCAGGGCTGGTAAACCTGAACTGGGAAGGGCACGGTCATTCATTGGGCTCAAGGTCTGCTAGTTATTTCTCCTTTGAAGATGAGCTGAAAGCTGGAGGCATCCCACAGACAGGAAATACAAACTTGGTGGACTGTGCAACATGGTAGGTCACCAGAAAGATGATAAAAAGTAGACCTCAAGCCTCTGGCAACTGAAGACCCACGTGTGATGAAGGAACACAGAGGGGGAAAAAGTGACGCTTCAGAAAAGGGAAGGCGGCTTGAGATTTGCATTTCCCAGATCCTCAGCCAGAGAGGCCTCCTGGAGAATGATGGGCAGAGAAGATGACCTTTGGCAAAAAGTTGGCAAATCAAGGTGAATAGTAGGTGCTCTACACATCATTTTCCCTATGCATTTGTAGACACTTGGTTTTATTTTCCTTTCTGGTCCTACCTAATACTTTTTCAACTAGGTTAAGTGATCTGGGAATATGCTGCAATCTCAGAGGTTGGGCACTGGCTCAGCTTGTGGAGCTGGGGCAGTGAAGTAGGCAGGAAGCATTTACTAGAGGAGCACAGGGATGCCAGGGCTGCTTATTCTTTCGAGGAATGTGTACTGTGTGTCTCATTCCTACTGTGCATCTTAGCACAGGGCTAGGCACCTGGAAAGTATCCCGAAAGCACTGACTGGACTGAATCCCAGACATATCTAACTGCCACATCCCACACAGCCACGCCCCTTCTTGGTCAGGGGAGATATGTCCTGGATCTCTCTTCTACCTCTTGGTTCTTACTTGGTCAGCGATGACTGTCCTGTGCTGGTACATTCCAGGGTTAAGCTGCCAACGACAGAACTCGCCTCTCCAGCCACGGGTGATAGTGCCTCCTCCAATGCCACCCAAGGGACAACCTAGAGAGAAAATCAGGATGGTTAGCAGGGCACAGGGAGAGGAAAAACATCCATTTCTCATTTTCTAGATTATAAGGATAACTTCCTCTAAAGACCCTAAGGATATCAAATCAACATGTTCCAGGTATATGAGCACCTTGAACTTATACAGTACTATATGTCAACTGTAGCTCAATAGACTGGAAAAAAAAAACAAAACACCTAAGGGGTGGGAACTTGCATAAGCTGGCAGCCTCTTTGCCTAGCTCTGCAGTAGCTGCGGGCAGGGTGGAGCTGGGGTGAGGCTCACCGTAGATCTGTCTCAGGGGTACACAATTGAGGAGGTCAATGAAAGGTGTCTTCTTCTCCACCTGGGTTTTCTGGTACCACCACCGCAAGTACCTGAGGAGCAAGTGGCAGTGTGAGTGCACGGGGAGGAGGGCTGGCCTCCCAGGCTGCAGTCACGGGCCTCTCTCTGGACACACCACCAGGACATCCCAATGAATGACAGAAATAACTAGCAGATCTTGAGCCCAATGAATGAGGGAAGGGTGGGACCTGGGCAGGCTCTGGAAGACTAGGGACACCTTTGGCAGTGTCCCATTAAATGTCATAAGGCCCACTCACCTTGGCTTCTAAACCTCTTTTCTCTTGACTTCTCTACAGTTCAAGGTTCCTTCATCTTCCTAGTCACTAATCATCCCAGCTTGCAGTGGGGATTGTCTTTGTTTCTCCTTTTTGATCTTTCCTCACCTCTCCAGCCCCACTACTACAGCTTCAGTTTACCTCAGGAACTTTTGTGTGCCATGTTGAAAATGCCAGTTATGGTTTCCTGACCTGCAGCCCCCTCTCACTCCCCACTCCTCCACAAATAGGCGTAAGCTTCTGGAATAACTTTTCTTTTCAAAATGATTTTCTTGAATATGAAAGGTGAAAATTTGGAGAATATACCAGGTGGGAAGGGAAAAAAATCCCACCCACAGACAACCAATATTTATATTTTGGGACATTTTCTTTTAAGATTTTTTTTTTTAAGTTTAGCATTTAAACTATAAGCTTTGTGATTGTGCTCTGTCATAATATTCCGTAAAGTTTCCTAAAAATCCCAATATTTTCCAGGTCTTATCACACAGCTCTGTGTTTAATAGGCAAATGACTCTGGGATTTAAGGCACGATAGCAGTCCCAGCCTATCTTCAATTCTTACTTTCTACAAATCCCCACTTGGGGTGGATCCTCAAAAAGTGATCCTGGCTCTGCTAGTCTCTCCCAATTCCACTCTCCTCTCCACCCAGTCATTTTATAACCATTATTCAAGATACTTCTTGGAATCGTGTCATTGGGTAAGTAACCCCTTTGAATTTCAGGCTCCTTATCTCAAAGTGGAATACTTTCTGCTCTACCCACCTATGGGGATGGTTCAAAGAGCAAATGACATGATTTAGATATGAAAGCCACAAAGTGGCCTATCTGTCAGGTACAGTCGTTACTAGCACATACACTATCTCAACTCCTAATCAGACACTTGTTATTTCATTATTCCTCAAGTGAGTCTGACATAGTTTTAAGTTCCTTAGAAAAAGCGACAATGACAAAGATTAGTTGAATATTACCCAGAGCTTCAAGTACAGGACAGGGTACATGGTCTGCAGACAGTAATTGTTGAATTTACAAATGTACAAACAATGGGGCATAAGAGAGACTTACTCGAACAGGAGCAAGAGGAGGAGGAATGTTATTAAAGAATAGGAAGGCTCCATTCCGGGGGTGGAGGGAGAGGAAGGGAAGACAAAGGATGAGATGTAGAAAGGCAGAAGATTCTTTCTGCCAGCTTAGGGGAAACTGGACTTTGAAACTAGAGGCCAGAAAGGATTGGTGTGGGGGTTGGGGGGTTAAGGTGTGGTTAGGGCAGGGAGAGAAGAGAAATGCACCATATGAAGATAGGCAGAACAAAGGAGTATCTCACATAGAACAAGAGCTGGACAAATATTTATTGAGTGAATGAACTCTGGCTGGAAGAGAACAATCAAAATTGAGTGCTTACCACATTCTGTCCAAGAGAACGCTTGCTGAGCTCCTAATCAGAGTTCCCCTCAGCTCAGCTCCCCCTTAGGGTTTACCTTTCTCTCCCTTAATGTAGCAGTGGGCCTTCCCTAACCTATCTGGCCTTCCCCAGAATTTTAGCCCCAACCTAAGAATTCAGAATTCTTTCTCGTCTCATCCCTAGTTTCTCCTCAAAGGAGGAATTAATCCCATTCCAAAACCCTGTGTCAGTGACCCCCACCTTATCCTGGTATGGGGAACCAAGGTCCAGGGAACCAAAAACACAACTTCAGGTCTCTATAATGACTCAGCTCATACTTGGGGATTGAGGGGCTAGGATGCCCACCTGTTTTTGCCCTCAGTGTTCCCACCACATGCACCCCATGCTTCTCTCAGTGCTCTAACCGTAGATCCTATTTTCACCCAAATGCCTTAGGAATCAAAGCTGGGCTGGGTCAGTTTGGAAGCAGTCTGGAGAGATGTTTCTCCTTGGGAATAAGCCACTCACAAAAACTAGCAAAGGAACCAGATTCCCCAGTTGCTCCAGTGAGGCATGGGGGTAGGTAAATGTCCTTCCCACCCAGCTCCACAGCACTGATTGGGGAAGGGAAGGCTCTCCTACATTAGAGGTATCACGGTTGGGTTTCCCAACCTTTAAGCCACCCTCCTCAGCTCTGTGTTTATAGTGTGGATTGACTCAGGATGACCTCAGGGTGATGCTTTCAATCCTCACATCCACCTGCTCCTGCTAATAGATCTTGGCTCTTCATCACTGTCTTTGAACTCAATGGTGATCTGGAGGGATTTAGAGTTCCACAGCCTAGGATAAGCTCTGGGGGGTGTATGTAACCACTGGGGTGGGAGAAAGGAGGGACCTGGGCAGGTTTGGAAGACTAGGGACACCTTTGGCAGTGTCTCTCTGGGCAGAGGTCTTTTTATTTTTATTTTTTAAAATATATTATCAGGAGCCATCTATCCCAGAATAGAATGAACAACACTTCTTATCGCCCTCTCTTCAGGGTTGAGAGCAGGCAAGTCCTCCTCACACATTTGGGGCTAAAGCTTAGGAAGAGCTAATGGGCATTGGAACTGTGAGGTGGTGCCCCTGATGGGTAGAGAATACTCCAACTGCTGGGGGTGGGGACTGGGTTGAGAACCTCCCTCTCCCGAATAGAACAACATTGTGTCAGTACCACAGCAGCCCCTCTATCCTTTTTTGCCTTACCACAAAGTATAGCTAACCCCAAAGAGCAGTCTTTGGAAGGAAGTATTTGAGAGGGACCCTAAATGGAAAAGGCTGACCTTAGGCCCACAAGTTCTTCTTTAATCAAAAGGCAAGTTAGTAGGAGGAAAGGGGTTACAAAAAGATGTGACTTGGTCTACCCTCCAAAACCATGGGCTTAGAATAGATTAGTGGAGTCTTGACTGGGACTAGGCACCCACCTGCTTTCTCACCCTTTCCCACCTTGCTGGGTCTTGTGCTGGAATAAAGTGAAGCCTAAAATACTCTAAGCAATGGAACTACTCACCTGAAGCCCATGCCCAGATGCTTTATCGCGTAGCTCAGAGAGACATTGTTGGCATGAAAGGGTTTCCTTTTCTCTGCAAATTCGTGAGCCAGGCAGATGCGCCAGCCAAAGGGAGGCACCTGGTAGCCCTTGGCTTTACCCTCATAGGAAGCCATCAGCTGCCCAGAGCCCTCAGGATTGCAGCAGCCCAGTTCATTTGGGGGTTGATTGTCCTTCAGGCTCTCGAAGTCTGAGATCTGCACAGCTTCCGTGCCTCCGGTATCTTCAGGGCAATAAACCTGTGGATCCCCTTTGGCACAGCTCATCTGTTCTGAGGCTGGGACTCTTGTCCCCATGTTCCCTGGATCCCCACGACCTCGATGGCCCCGGGTCCCGGTCTTTCGGTGAGGTCTCGCCAGCCAAGCGCCAACGCGGCGCTCGCTAAGTGAAGTCCCGGAGGGCCCGGCGCGGGGGAAAGCCGAGCTGAGCCGTCCCCGTGGGGCGGAGGAGCCACTCCCGCTGCGGCGGTGTCAGCGGCCGCAATGAAGCCGCCTCCGGCTCCCCCTCGGTCTTCTCTTTGGGTCCTGGGCGGGAAGGGTCGGGCCTCCGCGTCATTGGGCGGCGGTGATTAGCTCGCGGGGCCGAAGGCCGGGGCCGGCGGAGAGGGGAGGAGCCCCGGGCCAGCCCCCCAGGCACCGCCCACGGGGCCAGCCCCGGAGCTCGGGCGGCCGCGCCCCCGGGCCGTGGCACCCGACGCCCCCAGAGCTGGGCGCCGGCCCCCGCCGGCCGGTGTCCAGGCCGCGCCCCGCCCAGGTGGCAGCTCCCGGGACCCGCGGGAAGGTGACCGGGCGGCGGGCCCGGGCGGCGGGGCCTTTCCGGTCCGACCCGCCGGCGCTTCCGGCCGGAAGGGCTGGGAGCCGGCGCGGGGCGGAAGGCCGGGGAAGTCCCGCCTCTGCCGGGCCGGATCCGCGGTCGGCGCCGCCTCGCGCCAGGCCCTGTCCGGGAGGGGCGGCCGGGGAGGGTCTCGGGCCCGAGGCTCCCCGTCCCCCCGCGAGGTGCCCGGGCTTGGGGCTCCAGGTGACGGCGGCCACGGCCTCGGGCTGGGACGTGGACCCTCGAGGGGAGGGGGCGGAGGCCGGCCCGGCGCGCGGGGCGGGAGGGCCTGCGGCGCTGAGAGGGCCGGGGCGGGCGCGGGCTGCGGTGAGCTGGGGCGGTGTCTGGGACCCAGAGCGTTGCCTTCCGCCTAAGCCGAACCGAGTCAACTTCCATCCCCCTGCCCACACCCTAAATCCGGGCGTTTTCCTTTAGACTCCTTGGCACAGGCCGCTGCTCTCCTTCCTCAACCTCAGGCTCATCTCAGACCCCCTTCCCTGCCCTGGTACTGACCTCTGACCCCCGCCCCCCTTGTTTTCTTCTAGGTTTTATTCGGGAGCAGCCATGATTGAAGTGGTGGCTGAGCTGAGTCGGGGTCCTGTGTTTCTGGCTGGGGAGGCACTGGAGTGTGTGGTGACAGTCACCAATCCCCTGCCCCCCACTGCCACTTCTGCATCCAGGTGGGAATGCTGGTGCTGAAAGTGGTCCTTCTAGAAGCCTGGTCTCTATAGTGCTAAGCCAGAGCTCAGGTTGTCCTGTAAGCTACACCATCACCATTGTGCTCTGGTTGTAGGAAAGGGTCAGGTAACAGAAGATGTGGTTGATATAACCCTCCGCTCTTCTTTCCCTTTGTCCTTCCCCATTCCCTTTTCTCCCGGAGACATACTTCTTTTGTATAATGGTTTCTCTTTAGGGTTCTTCATTCCCTGATCCGCAGAACAGCAACCTCAATTGTGCTGGTTTGAGACAGTGCAGTAGGGAGTTTGAGAGAGCGTTTGTGAGGTCAGGAACTCCCTCTGATGCCTCCTTTTCCTCCTCCCATAGTGAGGCTCTGGCCTGGGCCAGTGCCCAAATTCATTGCCAGTTCCATGCCAGTGAGAGTCGAGTAGCACTGCCTCCCCCTGACTCCAGTCAGCCTGATGTCCAGCCTGAGAGCCAGACTGTCTTTCTACCACACCGAGGTTAGAGATGGGGCATTGTCACCTAAGGGTGAAGTTGTTAAGTTGGTCTGGTGGGTCTTTATAGTCCCTGTTACTTTGGGAATGTGGGGATATGTAATTATCTCTTTGGGAGTATGAGATTGTTGCTGTCTTGCAAGCAGAAAAGAGGGGTAGATTGTTTTGGGTTGCCCTTTATTGGCAGTTCTTACTGTCCCTACCTGTTGTGCTAGCCTCATCCAGTGCTGGACAACAGGGTCGTTAAATTGCAGTTATCCTTTTTTAGGTGAGAGGGGTCAGTGTATCCTGTCCACACCGCCAAAGATCCTATTCTGTGACCTGAGGCTAGACCCTGGAGAGTCCAAATCATGTGAGTGACTCCCTGCATCCCTGAATTGCCTTGTACGGATGGCTCCTGGAAGGACTTCTCTGCCCTCCAGCCTTCAGCCACCCTGACTGTTACTTCCCAACCAGACTCCTACAGCGAAGTGCTGCCCATTGAGGGACCACCCTCTTTTCGGGGTCAGTCAGTCAAGTATGTCTACAAACTGACCATCGGCTGCCAGCGTGTCAACTCACCCATCACTTTACTCAGGGTGCCCCTGAGGGTTCTGGTGCTGACTGGTAAGTATGGGCTCCTGGAGGGGAGGGCTCAAGAAGTCTCACCAAAGCAGATGTCATCATGAGACAGCTTGTGAGAGGGGCTGGAGGGAAGCTTCCTGTTCTTAGTGACCATGCGAGGGATTTGGGAAAGGGAAGGTTCTGGAAAATAGGTTGAGATGTATTATATCGGCTTGTGGCTCCCCTTTCTTATAGCCTTCTCAGGTTGAAGGCTTAAAACCTTAAACCCCTACTCTTTGTTTCCTCCCAGCACTACTTTTCCACTCATTCTCCCTCTAGGCCTTCAAGACGTCCGGTTTCCCCAGGATGAGGCTATAGCCCCATCCAGTCCTTTCTTGGAGGAGGATGAAGGTGGGAAGAAGGATTCATGGCTAGCCGAGCTGGCTGGGGAGCGCCTCATGGCTGCCACATCCTGCCGCAGCCTCCGTGAGAATCCTTTCTTAACTACCTTCCTCTTACTCCCTCCCGCCCCCGCAGTATTCTTGTCCCCTATGGGTTTTCCTAACTGCCACATATTTCTGAGGATTCACTATCTCACCTCAGATTAGAAAGAAAAGTCCCACCTTTGGGCTTCTGGATCTTAGTTCTAGACATTCCCTAGTGTGGACTTCAGGCTTAACACTCTTCCGTTGTCCCCCAGATCTATACAACATCAGTGATGGCCGAGGAAAAGTTGGGACATTTGGCATCTTCAAATCTGTATACAGACTCGGCGAGGACGTGGTGGGGACCTTAAACTTAGGGGAAGGAACTGTAGCTTGTTTGCAGGTGAGAGGAAGAGAGGCTCTGAGGCACTGGCCTGAAGGGCTAGGTTGGAAGGAGGGAAATGGCTTGCATAAAGAGGGGTGATATGACGAAGTAGACAGTGGGGTTACTCAGCATCCCTTGGGTGAAACAACTTGAGGTTGGGCTGCCCTCTCGCTTATCACTGCCTGCTAGCACACATTTCTCTTCTTGCTCCCAGTTTTCAGTAAGCCTGCAGACTGAGGAGCGTGTGCAGCCTGAGTACCAGCGACGCCGAGGGGCAGGAGGTGCTCCCTCCGTGTCCCATGTGACTCACGCCCGGCACCAGGAGTCCTGCCTGCATACAACCAGAACCAGCTTCTCCCTCCCCATCCCTCTCAGCTCCACCCCAGGCTTCTGCACTGCTGTTGGTGAGACCCTGAGCATTATTGGAAAGTGGGTAGGAGCAGGGTAAAATACTGGGCTTAGGTGAGTGTAGTGGATCCCGTTTCCCGCACACTTTCAGACGTACCCAGGCCCCCCTTTTCTCAGACTTTCAACATCTGGCCTTATCCTAAATCCTCTGACCCCTAAACTCTTAACAGCTTTGCAGCTCTCTTTCCCTACCCCTACCTCCTGGGAATCTATTGGAATCTGATTCCCCAGAACATTTAATTCAAACAACTAAAGCCTTGATTGTTCCACACTTAGGTTATTAGGTGCATGATACCACTAACCATATTGTCAAGTTTCTGGTTAACACAATAGATTTCTTCAGAGAGACCACTGATCCTAGCTCCCTGCTGTGATTTCTCTCCCTCTTCCTGAATATAGGTTTTTTTGCCATTTGCTAACCTTGTCTTGTTCCTGACTTTTTTTCTTTAATTCTGATGTCTCTGACTTTATCTTTTTCTACCATAGTTTCACTGAAGTGGCGACTACATTTTGAATTTGTCACATCTCGAGAACCAGGTTTGGTGCTCCTGCCGCCCGTGGAACAGCCTGAGCCAGTCACCTGGACGGGACCTGAACAAGTGCCTGTAGACACCTTCAGTTGGGACCTCCCCATCAAGGTGCTGCCTACGAGCCCTACCCTGGCCTCGTATGCAGCTCCAGGCCCTAGCACCAGCACCATAACCATCTGAAACTGGCCCACCCTGGCACTACTTTCTTCAGGATACTAAAATCTCGGCACCTGGACTCTAGTAGGGCCCACTTTTCCTACCTGGGGTTCAGTGGCATGGACAATGAGAAAGAGACAGGCTTTCAGCTGGAGCATTAATTTATTTATTCTGAATAAATTGGCAGCTGCTTAGTGGTTTCCCTGGAAGTGGCAGCAGCAGTGGGCAGTCAGCAGAAAGGTTTAGCTGGAGTGGGGAACAGGAGCCCCAGGAACAGGGGTATTTGCTGAACCCCACTCTGGGTCAGGTCCACCTCCTTTGCAGGGAAGCCGAGGGTCGGATTTTTGCACCAGGGAGAACTGGCAGGTTCCTGCCTCCTGCCGAACCTCACACTCAGCTGGAAAGTCGATGGGATGTTGGGATCTGGGAAACCAGAAGGTGGGGAAGCAGTCAGTATAAAGGCCTCTTTTGTCCCTGCCCCACTTCCCTCTCTCCAGCATTCCTCTCATACCTTCCTCTAGATCTCCTGTCACCCCCCTACCTAAGCTCTCATCTACCACTGATGGTGATTTTTTTTCTGTTTCGTAGCAGGAATATTTTCCCTCCACACCCATTCCTTTACCCCTCACTCTAGCCTGAAACCTCTCACACTCGTGTTGGTACCTTCAGCCTCATATTGCTCTTCTGTTCATGCTCACACAATAATCTAGTCATTCCCTGGCCATGCCTTGGTCACTCATGCCAGAACCATTCTATCTGGTCATCCTGGGTCACTCACGTGTCACAGCAGCCCACACCGACAGGATGCAGACAGGTGCAGTGGAAACAGTCCTTGCGGAGCCAAGACTCACCCAGGGTGTAATACTTCCCATCATGGTGGCAGGGGGCTAGGGAAGAACAGGAGATGTTAGTGTGCGGGGAGTGGTGGTGGCTGACAGAACCCCTTCTGCCAGACAGCCCCATTATTTCCAAGCTGGAAGAAGCCTGGGTCTTCTGACACCACATCCTCTCTCAGCCCACTTCCTCCCAACTCCCATTGTCCTTGTCCTGTCCTAGGTCTCACCCGCCTTTACCTTGAGCTTGGAAGTAGCACTTGCTGTGAACTCCTGGGTACTGGAGGAACAGAGATATCACCAAGCAGACCATCCCCCAGCCTCCCAGGGTCCCCTTAACCTGTCCAGCCCAGGGCATTCCTAGGGCCATCCCTGCAGCACAGCCCTCGTGGACCCTTGTTGGCTTCTCTTTAGGCTACTTTGATCTTGTCTCTTTGGCTTTTCTTTATTTCTCTCCTTGAGTCTCTCAGTTTCTGTGTTTCTCCCCTGGGCTCCTGTCTCACACCATCTCCCTGCCCTCTGCTTTCACAGGCTTGGGAATGTTTATAAAGTGAGGACCCTGGCCCCCTGCTGAGTAGAGCTGGAAAAGCTGTAACTGTGTTTCCTGAGGTGAGGGCATGAAAACAAGAGGTCTAGCTTTAACAAGCTGTGAGAGCTGATTCATGCCCCAGCATAGCTAGCAGGAAGGAGGTGGCCGAGGAAGGGGCACTGGACTGGGCATTTGCCCAGCAAAGAGGTGGGAGGGATGAGGGCCCCCAGGTGGTCCCCAGATTTCTTCCCTGACCTGGAGAGAAGGAAGCATTCCATCTCTTCCACCCCCAACCCATACACACTCCAGGGGTGTGTGTGCTGGGATCCCTGCCTGGACCGGAGGGAGGCATTTCCTGGGGACGGCTAATCCTGTGCCCTAGCCAAACCGAGGAGCTGCAGGAGGGTGCGACGGCCAGAGGCTCCAGGAGACCTAACAGGCACCTGGAGTAGAGAATGTTGCTCTCAGAACCTAGAGTGGTGTCTTCCTGAATTATCCTGGAGACTGGAGATGTGGCTGCCCCTCAGAGATGGGCGAGTGACTTCCACAAGGATCCTGGAGATGAACTGTCCTTCATCACCCCAAACATACAGCAGACACCCCAAACATCCCTCTTTAAAAAGATGGTACTTTTAAAGAGGGACACCTCTTTAAAAGGATGGTACTTTTAAAGAGGGACATCTGTAAGTGCCCTCATGCCATTAGTCAAGCGCCCTCTTTTCTCCTGTATGTTTTGGAGTGAGGTTTTTGGAGTTTAGCTTCTGACATCTCTTCTGGGTTTCCTGTATGTTCTGGAAAACCCCAAGATGGGTGATTAAGAGCATAGGCTATAGAGTCAGGCTACTTGGATTTAGATCCTGACTCCATGTACTAGCTATGTGATCTTGGGCAAGTTACTTCACCTCTGTAAACCCGTTTCCTTATCTGCAAATTGGGATAGTAATACTAACTCACAGGGTTGTTATGTGAATTAAATGAGATAATGTGTGTGACGTTCTCAGCCCCATCCCTGGCTCACAGCCCTCAGAAAATAGCTGCTACTCTGAGCTGAGAGAGAAACTGGGTAGCCATTTCTTTCTTTGACATCGAGCAGCTCTGTGTGCACAGCTGAGGCTTCTGCTGGGTGCTGCTGTCTCCTGGCATAGACTTCTGCCTCCTGCTCTTGTGTTCCATGTCCTGCCTGAGGGAACATTTGGGTTTAGTCTTTATATCCTTGAAATTCTCAATGTCTGGCTGGAGAAACAGTGTTGCTTATAAATTTACATTTTCTAGTGAGTATGCATCTCCCTAGGGAAGAGGTAGCATTTTCTCATCATTTTTACATCTTTTAAGATTTTTCTGCTTTTCTCTCATTAGGTTTCTGATTTATTCTTCCCATCCCCACTCAAGTGAACTCTCAAGTTCTCTTTTCTGACTACTCTAATCCTAGCCAGTTCTAGCCATCTCTGGTATTAAAGGCCCTTGGCCAAACTGAATTTCCTTTTCTTTCTCACACTTCAAAAACTCAAAAACTGTTGCAGCTGTTGCCCTCCTAACTTGTAGGCCAATCACTTTGTCCAGTCCCAATGACTAAGTCTTCTACTCTTATTGCCTGGTGGGTCAGATAGAACAAATTCTGACTGACCTTCACAGGGCTGCCCTGCCCCTCTCCTCACTATTGTAAAAGCAGTTCACCTAAGACTCCTAATCTGGCCTCTTCCAAGAAGACAGAGTAGTGGAGGGTGATGCAGACCATACTGTACGTTCACCCTTGTCAGGTTTGACACCCTTTCCATTTGAGGAGAGTGTCAAGAGAAAAAAAAAGAAGACTTGCAGTTGAAGCATGGTGCCCTGATACAGGCTGGCAAGCAGGTGACGTGGCCTTGGACTGATCTCTCAGAAAGAGGAGGTAGATTCGAAGGCTTGATTTACATAGGGCCTAGAAGCCATGCCAGTGGTCAGTAGCTCTGCTGTTGCCTGGCTAGGGTTGGGGATCCAGCTGGCACCGTGGGAGGCTGGACCATAGATCACCTTCATGCTTCTGCAACCTAGAGTCAACCCAAAGGTGGGCGGACATGAGTGGGAAGCTGGAGAGCATGAAGGTGGTGATGATGCTAGAAAACAAAGGGTGCCCAATGAGGACTGGTATCTGAGGTAATGGGGACAGAAAGAACTGAGGACACCTGTTGTGAAGATTAGGTAGCTGGTAGGGGAGTTGAGCCCTTATGGAAAGAAAAGTTGGGATGCCAGGATCCATGGCCCAGTAGTTGTGGGCTCTCCAAGGTCGTGTTTGAACCTGCTTGTGTGCCTGCTGATGTGTATGTGTGTTGCTTCTTGGGGCCAGAGGCTGCGCTTATATATGTGGTGGGGTCAGTGGTTAGTGCCCAATTCTGGGATTCAAGGGACAGCGGCCATTAGGGTTGCCAGTGTGTGTGTGGGGGGTGCAGCAGTTGGCCCGCACGCCTGGAGGGGGAGGTTGGCGAGTTCTGCCTGAGCGGGGACAGAGAAAACATCCGCCGGAGGCCCAGCCCGGGCTGTGCTCCAACAGCTGCAGGCAGGTGTGTGCTGTGAGGAAGTGAGCGCATTCCGGCCCCTGGCATGTGGCCCTGGTGAGTCACCATCAAGCCCCCAGCCCCCAGGAGGGACTAGAGGGACCTGCTACTGTGGGCAGATTGGGGACCAAATCAAGGGGTGGCTGGGTAGGGGCAACCTGGTAAGGTTCCCAAAGCTTCGGAAAGCATGCCTGAGAGAGTCTGAAGGGGAAGAGGGTCATGTTTTATTTTTGACCCAGGCACCAAAACAAATAGAAGTTTGATATGGAGCTTGTGACTACGGGAGCAGGAGCGCTGTAGACTGCAATGCTGGGGGCCTTTAGATGGAAAGAGGCTTCCACACCAGATAGGAAGGTGGAAGTCCTAACCACCAGAAATAAGGCCTGCCCAGGGGTTATTTGGGAACAATTGTGTCAAGGTCATTAAGGCTTTGACTGTTGTGAAGAGTTTGGATTTGGTTGAGCAGGAAAAGTAGTGAGTGACTTAAAAGCAAGAATATCTGTGTCAGGCATTATTGCTTGCCATTCAGCCTCTACCAAAAAAATAAAAGGAGGCATTGATCTGCTCAGTTTTATAGTCATTTAAAATACTTGCATGGCTACACATCAAAAGATTTCATTTTGAATTTTTTTTTAAATAAAAGAACAGTTGAAAAATCTGATTCAGTGTTTGATATTAAACCCAAAGTGAGGTGATCGAGTTTGTTATGTGGTGTTGAGTCTCCCTCAGTCTTGCCTTAGTGCCATTTTCCCCTCACTGACTTGACTGAATTCTGAGTTGTTAATGCCTTCTTAGTTCTTCTGGCTCAGTAGCATAGCATGTTTAGTTTTCCTTTCCCTCATCTTCTGGTCTTTATTCTTAACTTTTTTTCTGTGCAGCTTGGAGCCTGCCCTAATTATCCTAAACCAAGTAAGACATTTCTTGGGATGGGGCACTGGACATAGTATGGAAAGAGAAGTAACATGTTAGGTTACGTACTGTCTTGTATAATTGCTATGTAACTATAAAGTTTCTGTAGTTACCCCATGGATGATAAAAAGAGAGAAAGCTATAGCTCATCCATTCACTACAATATTTCCACGACACAGCAATTTGAGTGGTTTCTCTTCTAAAATCAACTCTAAAATGGTATTTGGCACTTGTCTCAAAAGTATAATTCTCTCATAGTTATGTTCTTTTGGACCGAAGATAATTGGAATGACTAGGTTATTTTAAAATTATTTTGGCCCCAAACAAGACAATCTGGACCAGTTAATTAAATTTGCTTTCCTTCTTTGAGCCCTGTTGCTTTCTCTTGTGCTGTGTCAGCCCCACCCCTACCTTATATTCCCTGTGGCCTTTGCTTTCATTCCTTCTTTGCTCTGCTGGGCATCTTTAGAGGAAAACTTCACACCAACTTCCTCTATAAATTCTCGCCCTCCTCTCAACTCTATACTTCACCTTGCCAACATCCACCACTACACTGGGTATTTTTAAAGACCACAGCCCTTTCTGGCTCTTTTCTGTATTTAGCACTTTCTCACAGAAATCTTCTTTTTCCTTCTTTCTCTTAGGTAAGACCTCAGATTTTTAAAAAGTTAGGCTTTGATTATTCTGCATGATATACTTCTGTCTTCCTCTTCTATCACATTATTAATTATTATTATTATTTAGGAATGTTTCTAAGCCATTATGCTTACCTTCATTAAGACTTCAGCCCTCCCCCTTGTGATTAAACTTTTTCCTCTAAATACAGCAAAAGAAGCCCATGTTTCTATTATTTTTTTCCTATGGAAAAAAGTCTTCAAATTCATGTTTGTCAGTCTCCCAACTTCTGCATCCAGAGCATGACATGGCCATTATAGTAAAGTCCATCGAGTGCCACTAAGGCTTGGTGTTGTGTTAGGTACTATAGAGTGAGTTTATAATCCTAGTGCTGGATTCCTAAGTGCTTACCAACAACAGATGTTGTCCTGTGTGTTGCATGAATGTTCTCATTTATGCACATGCACAGATAATAGAATTATAAGTGAATATATGAACATTGCATATATTACATTATAATCAAGCCAAATTTTGGAGTAGAGGGTGAGGTGGGTAAATTCATAGCTAGGATAGAACTTGAACAGCACCAACATCTTTTAGCATTTTGTATTCAGAATGGCAAAGGATGAGAAGAAAGATTCATTCCTGTGAAGATAGAGGCTGAATTTTAGAAGTTGAGATGACTTACAAAGCTGTGGTGAATAGTAGGAGTATGGATGGAGAGGCCAAAGTCCCAAGGACATATAACTGCCATACCTAAGTAGTGCAGAGAACATGAAAGGCTCTCTGGTTGTACAGATTTTGACTATATTCAAGCTTCCATTAATAACCAATATTGGTGTTTTCCCCATCTCTGCATCATTGGAACCATTCTTACCAACATTTTAAAAAATTTTTTCTGCTTACAAATTGCACTCATGAGACTTCCCCCACAATAACTAAC